GTGGTTTACCTCATCAAGCTGCGTGCGTTTGTGCGCTTCACGTGACAGTTTGGTTTTTTATGTAAGAAATCTTTAACTGCAGGAGAAAAGAAAGAAAGAAAGAAAGAAAGAAAGAAAGAAAGAAAGAAAGAAAGAAAGAAAGAAAGAAAGAAAATCGCTCCTGAGATTTTCCGAAGCATTTGGTTGTCAGACTGGGAAACAATTTGTAGAGCTTAACCCAGAATTACACATTTGATTCTGTTTTATTAATCCCACAGTGGAATACAGTATGCCAGCCCTGCACAGCAGCGACGAGTGAATCATACTGATGTACAATCAGTTTAGCAGTTGAAAGTGCTCCATCCTCAACGCACACAGAGTTTTGATTATTTTTGAAATAATGAGCGTGTGCGATGGAAGACAGTAAAGCATATGTTTGGCATCACCAGTCACATGCTGGAAGATCTAAGAGATAAGTGAGGAGACAATGGTTCTATTTGAGAGAAAGGCATTAGATACATATCATTTTAAAGCATGTCTCCACAGACAATTTAGGTTTGGGTTATCAAAGCAAGTCTGACTTTATTAGAGTAACATCTAAAGCTGCGTGGAATGACTGAAAGGGATGAATGTGCCCATACCAGAGGAGACATCCGAGGTCATTTCTAGCAGCCAAAAATACTAAAACTAACGTCTGCACACCTACTTTAACTTCTTTATTGTTTGAAACTATAATTTCAACTCACCTTGGGTTGTACCTCTACTTCTACCACTTGGTTCTTGTTCATGCAATCTTTGACAAATCCTTCGACATTGCTGTTGAACTTCATGAAGATCACATAGGCGGCGTAGCCCGTGAGCAGCGTGATACTTTCCCACATGGAGATGACGTTATCCAGGAAGAAGATGATGAGCAAGATCAGATCCAGGATATAGAAGGATACGTCACGGAAGAGCGGCCACCACGTCAAGTTGAGGATCTCCTTGGAGAAGATGGCGCACATCCCAATGACAAAGAGGATGTTGAAGACGGCCGAGCCCACGATGGTCCCGATGCCCACATTGCTGTGCGAGATGAAAACGCCAATGACGGAGGTGAAGAGTTCTGGAGCTGATCCTCCCGCAGCCATGAAGGTGGCGCCCGCAACGTCATCGGAAATGGTCAGCTTTTCTGTGATGACTGTCAGCGCCGGGACAAAGAACTCGTCGCACACGATGGCTAACGCGATGAACATGTAGATCATGCCAAACATGTGGAGGACCACTGCTCCTTGGCGCCTCTGGGAGAGGGTAAAAATGTCTGGTGGGTACTCCCCCTGGCTGTCGTTGCTATCTGCTGTAGATTTCATGGCTATTGGCATGTCAGCTGACACGTTGGGGTCTCTCTGGTGTTGGGTAAAAAGTAGGGTCCTGTGTGGGGCCAACTGATGGAGACTCTCCTGGGGGAGCACTGGCTCGCTGACACCTCCTGAGTTCCAGGCAAAGGCACTGTAGGAGACAGCACTTAAGGCCACCAGACTGAAGGCCAACCCCAAGATTCGTGTGGGCCTGAACTTTTTCCTCAGACACCGACGGCCCAGCTGCTTACAGGCAGGACCCAATATGGGTCTTGGCTCTGGAGAATCCATGCAGGGTTGATCTGACCCCATGTCTATGCAGCTTTTGGTGTCCTCTCTCTCAATAGGTGCGCAGAAGAGGGGAGAGTGGCGGAGCAAGTTTCACCGGAGACAACGCATCATGTCGTGTTTGGTTTCAAACTAACTGAATTGACAGTAGGTGTTTCCCAGGGTCTGGTTTGCCAAATGATGTCGTCATATTCGCCTCTGATGGACAGAACAAGGAAGAAAAAAAAAAGAATACCGAGTGAGGGAAATTGAAGAGGTGATTTTGATATTTTACACAAGGTTTATTTGGTTGGTTATTAGTGGTCCTAAAAATCTAAGATAAATTAATAATTTGTAATCATTCTCTCATAGTCAAACTAAACACACTAACATTAAACAACCAGTAAATCAGTGTCACTGTGGAAGACTCCACTATAAACCCACTCCCCAAAAAACATCAGGCTATAAGGAGACATGTAGCAAACAAGATCCAAGAATTAGAGCCATGCACGTGGGGCTTACTCTGCTTAAAGCATTTTTAATACATATGACACGGACACTGTTTTGAACTGTTTCCATCTGAGAGGATGGAGGCAAGCAGTTAAACAAAGACGCATATTAAGGAAAAATACATGCAGAATTCACATGATCTGAAGTCTGAACATTTGCACGCAAATCCACCATGACTTTGTCATTTTTGGCCTCACAGCGGAACACCATAAGCCCCCCTACTATCGAGTGTATTTCTGAAGCAACAGCACTCCACGTTTCCAAGTAAACCAATTCAAACCACAAGATATGCGAGCAGAGAGAAAACTTATCTCACTGACAGATTGATTGCAGCTGATGCTGATCGAACCCTTTCAATTCTGATTTTATCCAGCTGTTCAACAAAAATCATAATGAGTTTTTAAATGTATTTATCTATTTCCTGGGACAATATCAACGCAAAAGGCCGACGGTTTACGGACACCACAGGGCTGCAGTCCAAGATTGTAAACATGTAGCCTCCGACGACGCTGCGCAAGTGGAAGCACATCAAAACACGCACGCCGTGTCCTATTTGACTTTTCACTGATGCTGCACGGATGGTTTGACATACCAGCCCCACTGACAACTCTTTCCCCCCGTCTGCCCTTCATTAATGCATTCGCCCTTTCAGGGGTATCACCACATCAGAAACAGCTCTAAGCATCACCCTCACGAACGTTAAGTTCCCTGCCGCGGAGCATGACGCGTGGACAGGCTGCAGACCGCGTCCTTACCTTTGAAAGAGGCGAGAAAACAGCCGCACGGCACAGCAGCAGTTGCAGCAGGTTGAAATTAGGAAATCGTCTCCGTTGCCCTCTTGCTCTCATTGAGCAAAGTGTGACCGGTCTGAGCTCTCCAGCGACAGAGGAGGAGCTTTAGATTGAGGGGTGGGGTGAGTGTTGGGGAGGTGAAGAATGCGCTCACCTCTCTCCCTCAGAGCAGCAGCAGCAGCATCTCTGCCGTCTGGGATGACAAAGAGAGAAAAAAATCTCCCAGTCGAAACGACCTCTCTAAAGTGGCAGAATATTGTGCTGGGCTGGGCTGACCACGTGAACCTGGCGGTTTATTATTAAAGCCAGGTAAGCGGCAGACAGCGCATCCGTCCCTCCGCTGATCACGCAGTGGGGGCGTTGGTGATGTTTCATTTTGAGGGAGGAGTTGCCGTGGTTACACAGCAAAGGCAGTATTTCCACTGATCCCCCTCCCCCGATGGCGGAACAGGTGGATATGCCTCAGCTTAGAAAATTTGTGTGCATGGCTGGGGTCACCTCAAGGTTACATGCGCGTGATGGATCCATTTCTTAAAGATAACCCTGGAGCCAAGCGATGCAGCACCGCTCATTTTAAAGAGCATGCTCCAGATAGAATTCAGCCTCTCTTTTTTTAAACACCCCCCCCAAATTACACCTCTGCTCGGTTTTGGGAAGGTTTGGTTTCTTGCCAAGTGTTTAATGAGATCATTCAGGTCCGCTGTCACATCTTTCTGTTCATCGTGGAAGAGGCTCTGCCCCAGCAGCTTAGCTTGGTTTACCTCAAGCTGTAGAAAACAAGAGTAAAACGCAGCTGTTCTGTTTTCTTTCTTTTGCTTGTATGTTTAAACTTTACCGCATGATTATTTACTGGACTGATTTGTAATAATGTGCATTTACTTCCTGGTAGAGCGCGATCAATACATCAGCCCCCAGATTAGCTATATTATCTTTTATTGGTGGTGGTGTGTGTGGAGGGGGGGTTGCACTGGATAGATGACAGGGAAGAAACACCCTTCATGAGTTTTGATATTGCATATTTTGTCCGCTAGAGGGCGCTTTCTTCTGTTGGCCACAGGACAAAACACAAACAACCAGCTCATCCCAGCAGTCGGAGAAAAGGTAAAAGAGTTATCCACTTAAATAATTACATTTAGCAATTTTTTTTAGGGAAACCTGTTAATGTTTCATGTGTCTAAGAGGGAAAAAAATGGCGAATGTTTCAAATTTTCAAATCACCAAAAATCGATATCAGTCTTAAAAATCCCATATCAGCAATTGTCTACTTCCTGCAGTTTCACTAATTCATTTTCCCCTTCACATTTACTTGGCAAAGAGTTGAACAATATATTATGGATTAATCTGCACACTTAAGCCAGTTATCTTGACACCTCTTTCAATCATCACGTTTAACTACCTTTATAAAAGAAAAATAATTTCACATTCTTTAAATAGGAAATGTTTCTTTTGTGTCTTTTGGGACTTGTCTCTGTCTGTTGTAATGTTTCCAGCCCACCTAGAGGCAATGCAAACAGAAACTGAGTATAGCAGATTTAGCTCACCTGAAACCTTGGCTGATTGTGACCTACACCCGTTTTCACGCCTTGGCTCATGTGATTAGGTAGAGGATCATAAGGGGGTCCTTTGTCCCTCTTCGGGGGGAAACTCCCACAGGGTTTATATCTGGGACTCTCCACCATTTGACCCTAGAACTGAAGAAGCTTCTCGAATGAGAGGTGAAACGTCTTCAAGCAACTTAATGAAGTCCAGACGCTTTTCTTTCCAAGCTCCTTAGAGTACGATGACCTGGATGACTGAGAACCTTCACAGACGACTTCCAGTGATCGAGAGGCGAATGATTGCAAGACCTGAAAGATGACAGTGGCCAACTTTAAATCTAATATGGTCATTTTTTTATGACAAAATCATGAAAATAAACCTGTGAAAACTTTAAAGATCACATGAGCTTTATTCGAGAGTGGCAAGTAGAGTATGTACCCCTCTACACTGAAAGGAGCCAGTTGAGCTGCTTCAGGCATCTGATTAGGATGGCTCCTGGATGCCTTCTAGGTGAGATGTTTCAGGTATCCCCAGCTGGGAGGAGACTTGGATGAGACCCAGGACATGCTGGGTGGAACATATTTCTCTGCTGCCTATACCAGTCTCCTTTGGTGTCCCCACAGACAAGCGGATGAGCTGGAGGAGGTGGCCTGGGAGAGGGAAGTCTAGGCATCTCCTCAGACTGCTGCTCTGCAGGCCGGACCCAGCCATGTTTCCCCCTCATGTCAAATAAGTCCCCAGCTACTTAGTAGCCTGTGGGACAATTCCTGTTGGACTGACACAGACAAATAATCTTTATGCAGTGTGACAAAGTATGTGTGACACTAATGGTCTGGTGCTGTATGACAAATCACGATTCACTGACCTCATTGATTTCCCCCTCTGCTAACCTCTCTTGTACCCTGTGGCTGTTTCTTGTTACCTAACAGGAAACACAGAGGCAGAGAGATTTAACTTACATCACATTATTGATAGCATGATCTTTTGTGACCAGTAACCATTATGGTTTTTGGTAAGGGATTTATTTGCGAAGTGAGCAGCTCTTGTACTGGTTGTTTTGTAAATCTACAAATTTATTAATAATGCAAAAACCTGTGGAGTTCCCCCTATAGCCTGGGTCCAGGTAGGTGTGAAAGTAAATCAAGAAACCTGATCTAAGTATTGATTTAATGACACCAAATGGCCAATAGCTGAGCCATTTTCATGCTTCCACACCAGCAGCACATTCTGGACTGGACAAAAACATGTTGTTTTCTCTCTCATGGATAGACATGCATGAAATGTCTCAGGAAATATCTTACATTTGCTGAAGAAGCACAGACTTGGTTTTTGCAAATTAAGTGATCAGAATTTGGTGGTCAAAGGTCTAAATGACTTTGTCCTGCAGTCTCTTGAAAAACAAACTTCTCTGTTCGATTTGGCCACACTTTAATTTGTGAACACCGGTGGGAAAAGATGAGCCTATTTCATTCACACTTGCAGTCCTGCTGCACATGCAGTAGAGCAGCATCACAGGTAGACACACGATGGTGAAAGTTATAAGTGAAATTAGCACCATTATTGGAAAGTTAAACAGTGATAAATATTACATATTGCATTTATACAGTACGAATGTGAACATTGTCTGAAATACAGACATATTGGATATCTTTAGTTTTAAAAACTCGCCCAACCAAAATTCAGTATCAGTCGGGCTCTACTTAAGCTATAATTGAGCCAGTGTGAGATCATGGCTGCAAACTGACTACAGATCTGGACGGACAAGTATGTTCCTGGTTACTAGATCATACAACTCAGAACAGGCTTTTTAAATGTTTTTGACTTCTTCAGGGTTGTCTCCAACACAACCATATTGTCTGTAAGCGTGTTTTTCAATTCGTCCATATTTATGCCTATCAGATGTGATCCCATCCAAGCTGTCAGCTCTTTTTCAACAATAGTCCCACAGCACACACGCAAGCCTCTCTTCTACACCCCCAGCACCGAGCGCTCACAATCTGGCTCCGTGTCGAGGATAAAAGTGATGACTGGTCACGGGTCATTTGGGTTGCGGTACAGAGGAAGGGTGATGGTGGCAGTTGTTTTGATATGTCTGAAATAGGTACTGTGACAAAAACAAATGACCCCTCCCCTCCACACCAGGCCCACCCAACCTACCCTCACTTTGGCCTGACAGCTAAATCCAAGCCTTTGTGTCCCACATTGTTGTAAGGATTTGTGGGCATTGGGGCACGGTGGGGCGGATAGATAGGGTGATGATAACCAAGCAAGTTTTTTCTGGTGAAGAGGGAAGTACAACTGACTAAAGCAAAGTACTGAGTTAGAGCTATTAAACAAGCTTTTTGCTCTTATAGCTGAGGAAAGAAGTGAAATTGGAGTCTCAAGATAAGCTTTTTCTAAAAGACTTTCTCTGGATTAGATGTCGAAAGCCCCAAATTAATAACCCCACCCATCACAACCACAAGTCTCTACAAAGAGGCTTGAACAGACCACCTGCTCCTTAGGAAAAGGTGGAAATGAGATGCTCAGGAAGTGGCAAAAATGGCAGCGTAAATATATTCAAAGCTCAGCATAAAACCAAGATTGTTCCAAGATAATGTGGGCGGGACCAATTTGTCTTAAAATGAGGGGGGGGGTATTCATTTTAGCAGAAGTAGTGCAAAAGGGATTAACGAAACGATAATCCACAAGCAGGTTTGATCGCCGGGTGCTGGGCTGATTAGATGCAAGCACACACTGTGAAAGTGAAACCCTGCTTTCATGGTATATGTTAGCGCACGTTAGTCCAAAACTTTTCAAACTGGTTTGTAATTTTTGATTTCTGCATTTTCTTTTGTTTATTTATTTTTTTTAAACTACTCGTTGTACTAGGATGGGGTGAAGGTGTTACATCATTAACGTGCTGATGTTTGCTAGTACCGCTGAAGTTGTGTGTGTCACTGCACTCAAACAAAACTTTCTTTGCCCTCATAAGTATAAAGCAATAGTCTTAAGTAAAGTGCAACTGAAATATATGAAATCAGAAGGTTGATTTATCCAAATAATTATTCATTAAGGAAAATATGACTGGTATAATTGAATGTATACCAATCAAGTAAATGTCATTTGACCAGATTCCAATAACTTTAATGTTTTACATTGTACTTGTGTTGAAAAATCCCCTGTAAATTTACATTGAGTCAAATTGCAGTCAGCACTTTCTGCATTTTTATGAGTGCCGATTATGAGCTATTTGGAAATAAACCACAATACTGAGCAAACTGAAATCTGTTCAAATTTTTGAGACCGTAAAGCAAAACTCATTAAAGTTTATTCTGAGGGAATCGAAACACCTGCAATCCTCCCAGTATTGCTGAAACATTTCAATGAAACCTAAAGAAGTCAGCTTCCTGACCTTAAAAGTCACTGGACATGGTGCTTTCAATTCAATTTTATCAATCAAAATAACAGTCATCTCAAAGCGCTTTGTATTGTAGGGTAAAAATAATAGAGAAAACCCCAACAATCAAACAAACCCTTAGGAGCAAGCACTTGGCAACAGTGGGAAGGAAAAACACCTTTTTCACAGGAAGAAACCTTCAGCAGAACCAGGAAGTGGCAGCCATCTACCGTGACCAGTTTGGGCTGAGGAAGACAGGACAGAGAGCCAGACCACCCTGCTGCGTGCAACTTTTAATTATAAAACTGAAACTCTTTTAAATTAAAAACAAAACATGACCTGAACTACAGTGAAACGGCGGTTTTGTATTTTTGACCTGGTTAATCTTAACTATATTTTTATATAATTGTTCAGTACTTTGAATTTAACTTTAGTGTGTCCTCCAGAGTGTGTTATGGTCAAGATAGTCTGGAAAGTGACAGAGATGCTTCAAAAAGCTGAATTTCCTACGTGTGCCTTTTATGTCATTACCCTAAAGGTTCAGAGGAAACTTCAAAAAGCCCCGCACATTAACACTCGGGCTTGATTTAAAGCTACATTGTGCATTAAAGTAAGAAATACTATCATGAATGGATTTCTGTGCCGGGGTCATGAAGTCACCTGAAGCAAATCCAATCAATCTTTGCCTTTTGTGACCTTACTGTATTTAATAATGGCGGGGCAATGCTAAAGCAGAACAAGCAAGAAAAAAAAATCATATCGATTTGCTCTCTTCATCCCTCATGTCACATTTCTAAAAGCAGGAGGGACAGCACGTGCGGGGTGTCCTTGTGACCTTTGGTGGTGCAACATGCCTTTCAATATTTCATGGCTCTTTTTTTTATCCATGGATGTTTGATGAGTGCCGGGTTTGAGTAAATAACAACCTGACAGTGCAGCAAATATTCTTTGGCTGTTATCTGCTATTGAGAAGCGTGGTGTGAAGGGGCACGGCATTGATACAGGGTGCGTGCTGCATTATAAGGTTAATCCTTATGTCAACAGCCCCACAGATGGACTGACCTGCTGGGCGGCAGTGAGTTTATGTTGGGTGGGGTGGGGCGGGGGGGGGGATACATCAGTGCTGTCTGTCTGGTTTCGACGAGCAGGAGGTGTGGGTGAACGAGACGGGGTAAAAACCAGACAAGTGAGGGGAAAAAAAGTCAAAAAATGTTTCATGCGCCGATGTCATTAGGAAGGCGAAAGCAGAGCTGTAATCCTATTTTAATCGCAGTGGATTTATTAAACAGGAGCAGCAGGTTTAAATCTCAGCAGATTACACAGACGGCCCAAGGAGATGTGGAGAGGGGGGGTCGGAGAGGGTTGCGTAATCAAGTGCACTTAAGGTGATATGGTTCATTTTTGACAAGTCAAGACTGACGGAGGGGGGTCGGGGGGTCTTTAAAATACAGAGAAGTCACATCCTCTCAGATTGTGAGGAATCGGTTGATGTTTTGCTGGATCAACACCTACATTTCTAATGTTTTGGAATAATTACTTTTGGCGAAGTTAAGACAGAGTGCCAGCTGCAGATGTTACTAATTATTTGGACAAGTGTGCGTGAGCCTTGGTGTCCCTTGGTGTTGGTGCAAATCTCCTTGGCATCCTTTGTAGAAGACCGAAGAATGGGTTAATCCCAGGTCACGTCACATCTGGACTTAATCAAGTCGGTCCCTTAACAGATCAGGAGGAACATGCTTCGACCTTCAGAGGTCACCAGCAGTAAGAGGTTTTAGAACAATAGCAGTGTGAGAGGCTATTCTTATTAATCACACAGAAATCTTAGAGCAAATTAGACAGTTTCCCAACCTTCACAAAATACACAGGTAAAGGAACTGAAGGTGATTTTCTCCCTTAACTTACCCTTTTCAAAAATGTCACTTTAAGCATCATTGAATTGTATAGGCTGTCATTTTTATTGTAAAGAAAGGCAGAAAATATTTAAACTCATTCACCTTCAAAGACAGTACGAAATACTGCTAAACTTGGCACAAGGTCTAAGTTAAGCACCAAACTACACAGTTCAATGCCCTTAAAATGGACTCGTAAGATGCCAGCACACTCTTCAGAGTGTTGTCGCTGAACTTTGCCTTTGCCAAATGTTTCGTGTAAAAGATTGCCAAGCTCTCCATCTGTTGGCTGAGCGCGGAAAAGCAAGCTTGGCTCGCTTGTGACAAAGCCCAACTTTTTGATAGGGAGCCATTTTGAGTCCTTTCTCTCATCTTTAGAGGTGCAGCAGGTAAGGTGTGTTGTTCAAATACCTGGACTTTTGTTTTATCACCATCTTTGCTATACGGTGATGTGATGAAGAAAGTGCACTTAGTGGAAAATGTTGACGTTTTATGACATATTTGGACAAGCCAAACCTTTTTTCCTCTTTGAAAACAGTGACTTTCACTGAAGGTAATCTAATGTTATGGAAGTGCTGACTGGCAACAACATAAAAACTGTTTTTCAGTCAACAACAAAAACACAGTGTGCAGTGGAAAAAGTTAGCAAATCTTTGACCTGAGAAACTAGTAATAATTAAATAGAAATAACTTCCTGTACGAAGTGATTCCCCAACATCTTTCATCACTGTTCAGTTGCAAGTTGTTTTCCTCTGTAAAAGGTTTACTTCTAGTCGATTAACCTCGAGGACTCACAGACTTCAACAGGCGTTGAATGAATTGTTTCAAGCTACCCAGACTGTGAGACATTGAAGGAATCCCCCAAAATAACAATATCCACTACCATGCTCCAAAAGGTGGGAGCTTCGTGCTTGGACACTTATCTTCATTGTAGAGGGGGTGTTAAATATAAGGCCCGGTTGACCAGAATCGGCCCAGCAAAGAATCCAATTTGACCAACTGGGCAGCTTTGGAAAATGTGAAGAATTGCAGAGATTTTATATTTTGACTGTATGTTTAAAACTGTAAGTTTTAAAGATTTTGCTATTGATAAAAGATCCCCTCCCACTGCTAGTACACAAAAGTGTTTAGGGGATAGATAAACTATTATATGACAGAAGAATTCCTATTTGTTTGTTTGTTTATTTTACAGTGGATTCACAATAAAAAATTAGAGAAAATTCTGTGAATTAATTAAAATTGTATATAATTTTATAATTACCGGACAGTCTGGGCATCGAACTACCAGACTTTTTACTGTAATACTAATAATTTTTTTCACCTTTATTAAACAAATAATAATAATTAGAATAATTCTAATTATTATTACGTGATGATAAATCAAATTTTTTTCTTTGTCATCCCAGCCCAGCTGGGGTCTGCTCGAACACCTCCATGATCCTGGGTTGTAGTTTAAATGATGGAAAAATAAACATATTTTTAATTTTTTTAAGTATTTTGTTTAACCTTACTGGACTTAATACACTCACCGTCTATATTACTTCCTTTTGCAATACTTTGTTCTCTCAGACGATGACTGAGCATGTCAAAGGACAGATTTTCTATTCCCAAAACCACAGTTTTTGCGTATGATCTGTCATCTGTCTACTACCATCTACTGGATAATGCGTGTATTGCATTTCCTTTAAAATTAAGTACCCTGATGGCTAAATAAAAGTTAGGAGAGGTCCTACAGTCTCATGACTGTACTGTATTAGGTTACTGTGACATCAGCAGTACTTCTGAATTTCCCGGAGGAACCCACCCGAGGGATAAATAAAGTTTCATGTAATCCAATCTAATTCCACCTGTGCTTTGTTTGGACCACTCATAATATTTACTTTGAAAATGGGCTGTTGTCTCCTGCCTGTG